GTGTGTGTGTGTGTGTGTGTGTGTGTGTGTGTAAGGGGATTGTGGTCGTAGCTGTTGCCACGAAGCTTTGTCATCCAAGTGGAATAGTATTGGACCGACGTTGGATCGATGCATCGCGTTCCTGTGCTGGCCGAGAGGCAGTGAATAAGCAAATAAGCACCTGGTCGATGGCAACGCTCGAGATGCTCGAGTAAATCTGGCGATCTACCAGCAAGGGGCTCGTCTCGCCGGTTCCTACCTTTACGACGTTACTCGCGTGCTACCGGGTGTTCGTCTCTCAAGGTGAAAACTGCTTTTAACTAGTGTACATACATTTCCCTCTCTCTCTCTCTCTCTCTCTCTCTGTTTTTCCGTCCTTTCTCCTTCGTTCAGTTTCGTTTCCGAAAGTGTTGCTTTAAAATTTGAACGATTGAGAGATTTCAAAAGAGACGATTTTTTTTTTTTTCTTTTTCGTGACATTTTTTTCCTGACAAGTATTTTTCACAGTAATTTAATTTGCATGTATTTTTATATCCGGAAAATATAAATTCCCGAGTACAAAAAAATTCTTTCAAAATTGACGCTGACGCTGAAGAAAAATGTTCCCAGTTGAACATTAATTCTTCTCAATGTATAAACAGAACGTTGATGACAAATATTTTTGATAACAATATTTCGAAGCTATATATATAATCAATTGTAACATTCTTATCTCTTATCAAAGAGATTTATTTATTTCCTTCAAACTTCTGAACGAAACAGTGTAATCTGCGATTGATTTTGTTTATTTAGATTTTCGTCGAACTGTTCAAACAAAACTTTTCTTCCTTCAGGTCAAGGCAGATAAATTACACGCGCATGTTCATGCGTTTATGCACTGGTTATTATCGTTGGGACTTGGCTCGGCATAATGCAAGACGCGAGTATTCTCTAATTCGTGAAGAAATATTTTAGAAGATAAATAACCAAACGAACGTTCGGAATAAAGCGAGAGGAGTGATTACAGGAAACTTGTGCAACAGGGCAGGAAAATTTCAGAAATATTCCAAACACATATTTGTATGGCCACGGACTGCAGGAATACTTCAACAAAGTGAATTCCACATCGGTAGATTGAAAAATGCGAGACGAAAATTCCACGAAATATTTAAATTATTCTTACCTATTTTTCATTCTAAAGACATCGTGATATCGCGGCAAAATCAATGTTGAAGCATTGAATAAAATTATAATATCGAAAATACCTAACACGTTGCTTTCACTTTATATTAAAATATTCTTCTGTTCAAT